AAAAACAAATTTTATGTACGAAGTTTACGCCATCATGCAGTTCGATACCTCCTGATGCGACAGGAGAGAAAAAAAAACCTCCTACCTTTCCTGCCTGCGTAAAAGCAGAAAGAAATAAAATCTGTGCTAATTCTATCAGATCTAGACTAAGAAATGAGATGGAAGACAGCAACAATAACGCAGCGAAACAAATTAAAATTTTGGTATCATCGTTAAACCATTTTCAAGGTGACAAAGGAGAAGAGTTGCTTGACTTCATAATTCTGTCAAATATTATCTTCCCACGATGACGTTGGTGAGACGATGATTCCAAAATGTCTTTTCTGTTATTTTGACTTGTATCTGTATTTTGAAATGCTTTACCAATATTGAAACAATCCCCGAAATTGAATCATCGAAAGGCTCGCCATAGGAATATATCTGAATCTATAAATTTTGTTTCTCTGATATTTGAGTTTTCTTTAATAATGAATGAAAAGTTCAAAAAACAAGTTTGCCCAAGAACGCAGATGCAAAAAGCTAATCGAGGGAACGTAAATTATACCTCTGTTTCTAGAACGCTTCATATAAAATCTCCTCTGATCCGGCATAAAATCTTCCGGTCTTGCTTCGTTTGTACGATTATTCAGTTCACAGATGTTTTGACCAATGACGACATTGTAACTCTGACACGTGACTTCTTCTTCACACCGGAAATAACACTCTTCAGGCAACTGATCGCGATACATTTTAAACACGTGACCTTTAAGGTACATTGCGCCAATGGAGCTTTCCGTTACACGACACTGACTGTTAGTGTTGAGTACACCAATCCGGGACATCAGAAACATGGTTGGCAGCCAGAACTTTGGATTCATTCTGAGGTGAATGTAGGTGCCAATTGCTGCACACAGATTAAGTACCTATCAACACAGTTAACAATGCTAAGATTAAGTTGTAGATGGATTTTCAGTCAAATTAATACCTCAATTTACACCTTAGAAGAATAAGTCAATCCAAAAAGGTTTTGTTATTTTGATTTCCTTCGGC